AAAAGCAGCGCACAATATCAGGGATTAATGGTGAACTTGACAAGAGAAATTCAAGTCAGACCAACAGCAATAAAACTCTCAAATGGATGCTTAGACCAAAACCATCAACAGTAGCCTGTGCAAACTCAAAAGAGGGAAACAAGCTATACACTAAAGCTAATAATATCTATAGGAGATGAATAGTTACTTAACAGAGGATCAGATGTTGAATTTAGAATAATCTACACTTTAGAGCAGAAACATGGTACAAAGGTGAGAGCCAAAAATAGATCTCACATGTCAAAACATTACTCAATTTCCTTACTTGAGCTATAGAAGATAACTATCAACTACAACTGAAACATCACTCATATAAAATAAAAAATCAAGACACACTATCCCTTTACTATGCTACAAGGTACAGTATTCCAAATAACAGGAGTTATTTCAAGCACAATATCTAACTTTTTGTTCTTTTTTTAACCACAGACCAGTGAAGTTTAGCACCATATAAAACTTTTTAGTTATGTTTAATAACTTTAAAAGAATATGTTATCACAACATTGTTACAAATTAATAGTAGATATTGAACAAATAACTGATTTTATATGGCTAATTAAAAAAAAAAAATTTCAAACTTTTTAATACTTTCATGTTACTAATTGATATATTCTAATACTGTATGGATATATAATATTAAAGTTTTTGAAAAAATATCTGCTTAACCTGTTTAAAAGATTAATTTTGTCATGTTATTAGACCTACTTTGTATATTCTACATATAGACACAAGAATATAAAATTGTTAAGAATATTATACAGAATCACTTTGACAGATATAATTATTAAAGTTATTTCAGATTTTATACATGTTGATCAAAGTCATTCCTTTTCCTGTGTCTAATTTTTGGTCTGGCAGAGGAAATTTTTCTCACAGACAGTGCCCAACTGACCTTATTATACTATGCAGTTGACAAAATCAAAAACAATGGGCATGCGCAGAATTAATACAAAATGGTGACACTTTACCAACCACACCCTGTAACACATTCATTGAAAAAAAATAAATGAATCAACTACTAGTCCAGCATATCCCAAAAGATACAACACAAAACTGATAAAAATCAATTTTTTTTTACCCACTGGGCCCCCAAAATGTACCATTAATGATAGAAAAAGTTTAAAATCTATTATACTATCTGATATGTAATTACCCAGTATTCAATTTATCAGAGGTATATAATAGTAAAACATGCCAAGAGACTTACCTTATTGAAACGGGCTAACTCATTAATAAGACACATTGGGGTCTTCTCTTTTGTGTTTGCCAAATTTTGTTGCTGCTGTTGCGAAGGGTCAGATGTGTTTGACTGGGAAGATGAAGAGAGAGCAGTTGTGATAGTCGCAACAGCAGCAACACCTGCTTCATTAGTGTGTCCACCTGCCCCAGCCCCAGTTGCCGCCCCACCCCCAAATCCAACTGATGCTGTTGATGAGTGACCCTGGTTAGACAATGAATTGCCAGAAACCTGGGCATTGTTGTTAGTATTGTTATTATTGGTGGCATTGTTGTTATTGGTAGCATTGGTGGTATTGTTATTTGCCACTGCACTCCCCATGGATTTGGAATGGGGACCTCCACTGCCCACCAGTCCATGTGTACTTGACAGCAGGTTGTTTGATGATGAATGAGTGGATGAGAGCAGTGACGATTGTCCCATTGTTCTTGGTAGTGATGACATCAGGCCAGAGCCAATCATACCTCCTTTGTTTAGGACTGTAAAGACAAGATTTCTCCATTAAATTTTTTTTAATAAATTGATTAGTATGCATTCAGTCCATATAAACAAAGTTGAAAAATATTAACAGAAAATTCAGTGATTAATACAGTTTAACTGGTTATTTGCAGGTTATAAAGAAATTGCAGCCTGGTTTGAATTCTGTTTTATGATTACTTTTCTTTGATCTGTTTACATGTCTAAGAAAAAAAATACAATTAAACTATTTGGAGTGAATTTATATAAGTATCACAAAATTTTAAATCCATTACAATTATATACATTTTGTTTTCACAACTGAAACATCAAGAATGCACTCAAGTACTTATATAATGGGTTTTTTTTTTTTACATAAAAACATTTTATGTAAGAAAAAAGAAAAAGAAAATTGGAGAAAAACTGTTTTTGATGTAAGTTACTATCAAATGCATAAAGATTGAAACACCACCAAAAATACAGTTTGTGTGTGTACATACACACACACACACACAACCAGTCAAAAGTATTTGGTGACCCTAAAATTTTTTTTATTTCTCATCCTAAAAGTGTTATTTTTAATGAAAAAAGTTAAACACCACAATGGTTTTATTTCTTATACTAAATACAAGTCTTCCCCAGTAACTTTGTCCTTAGTATAACCAGATAACTTTTGTAAAATTGATTTGAAGGCATTTTTCTTCTTAGTACTGAGCATGAATAAAATGTTTCCCAAAAGTTACATTATACCACCACTTTAACTCACATTAGACTATACTGTGTTGAATTACTGCTTGCTAGATACTACCTGTTTTACCTATGCTGCTAATGTACTCCTGTTATCCCTAGGACAATAGAACATTGGTTTAGGATGTATGGGTAGTTTTTTTTTGAATGATAGAGGACAATAGAAAAACTTTAATGTTCTATTAAATTTATTCTAAAAACAACTAATCTCTTTAAAAAACTTTTTTTTGTTTCTGAATAATTGTGAAATGTACTAATATTTATATAAAAATGAATAAACAGTACAATTCTTGGTCTGATAAAAGTAATTCTGAGCATCAAAATTAATAAGAATATTTCTAAGATTATTCAAGGTGATTTAACATTTTAAATAATTTGTTGTTTTTGTTTGTGTTTTTTTTTATAAGAATTACAATAAAATTTAAATAATTTGTTTTTGCATTAATCATTTTTAAAACTTTGATATTTTAGCTTTTATTTTTTTCTATAAATTTTTAATGGTGTTTTGTACTGCTAACAACTATAAGTTAAAAAAAAAATCACTTTGGAGTGATTTAAATTTTTTTTAGTATGATTAAAGGTTTTGGAATGTTTCCAGAGCAATCATGAAAAAAGTTAGTCTGAAGTCCTGCTCTTTCTCATACACTGTGATATAACTGAAATTTTGTTTTATAAATTGTCTGAGGAGCAAGTTAGCATTTGAAGTATAATTAATATTAACTTATTGTTCATTGGAATCTAAGTTACATAAATACAATTTTTTGTCTTGAGTAACTAAATAAAATAAAAAACTCATGAATAGATTTAATGGCTTAAAAAGCATTTTAAGTTTATTTTTATTGCCATTTTCAATATTATTTCTAGTGTTAAACATTATTGCAATTACATGTAACCAGACTACAACTGGTGATAGTACTTCACCTTAAAATAGTTATTTAGTGCTGAAAATGAGGCTTCAGATCTGTTTAAATGCTTTATTTGTTACAGAGCCTCCCCCATGCTTTACTTTTGGTATGATACAGGGGGTTGCAGCTCTTTCACCAGCTCTTCACTGCACATAGACTCCTGTTTTACTTAAATATTTTGAACTTTGATTTGTCAGTCCAAAGGACTTTATTCCATTGCTCTATTATCCAGTCTTTGTGTACCTTGGCCCACTGGAGCATTTTGACATTGTTTTAATTCCTTAACAGTCATTTCTTAACAGCAATTCTGCCATACAGGCCAGATTCATAGTCTTCTCCTCACAGTGGATATTGACACATTTTTTTCACAGCATTGGTTCAGTTGTGCAGTGATGTTTGGTTTAGTCAGCCTTCTGTCACACAAGCTGGTGACATTTAATCTTGTTTTGTCCCATTTCCTGATATTTCCTAACAGTATGGTCCACTGTAGTTCTAGTATTTTTATATTTTTTTTTAATTTCTTTGCTTGAATATGTATTTTTTTGCTTTGTTTTTTTTTTTTTTTAGAGTAATGATCTTTTGTCTTTGTTCAAGTGTAAGTTCATGTATTTTGAGCATTTTGTTGAGAAAAAAGTTTTCATCCGGAAGAAAGTTGCAAAATTTAGGTTTTTAAACAAAATAAGAATAGCAGATTTCATTACTGGGAAACATTCCAAAACCTTTAATCATAAAACACAAACAAAAACAACAAATTATTTAAAATGTTAAATCACCTTGAATAATCTTAGAAATATTCTTATTAATTTTGATGCTCAGAATTACTTTTATTAGACCAAGAATTGTACTGTTTATTCATTTTTATATAAATATTAGTACATTTCACAACTATTCAGAAACAAAAAAAAAAGAAAAGTTTTTTAAAGAGATTAGTTGCTTTTAGAATAAATTTAATAGAACATTAAAGTTTTTCTATTGTCCTCTATCATTCAAAAAAAACTACCCATACATCCTAAACCAATGTTCTATTGTTCTAGGGATAACAGGACAACTTTAATATTAAGCCCTGATAAAGATTTAATATTTAAATATACTTTACAGGCTTTCAAATGTTGCATAAAAATCTATGTAACTGAAATAACTAGAAAAAAAATCAAGTAAAAATAGTGTTAGTTGCATTAAAAAGGGATATATTTCTGATAAGTAAAGCACTCAAGTTATATATATTGAATGAATATCTGGTAAATGGTTTTGAAATGAACCATAAGCAGAGTCATTTTCTAGCTTGACATTTAAACAATATTTTTTGAATATCTCTTACAAAAATGCAGATTAAACAGAAGGCTTTTAACCTACATTACTCTAAGATAATCAACTATGTGAAGGTGTAATACTTTACATTAAAGAAATGTCAACATTTTTATGGTTTTTCAATGAATAAAGATAACACTATTTGGTAACAAAATATAGAGATCAAGTATTTATCTTAAAACTGCTAACAAATGGGTGTTTTTGACATTATCATGAAGAAATAGTATTAACCTGAAGGAGATACTGGCATAGTTCCTTGGTTAGCTGTAGGTAACTTCATTCCGGGATTATTCTTCAGCATCTGAGACATGACAATATGCTAGGGACAACCTGAAACAAGAGATTTCAAATTAAATAAAGAAATACTTTGTAAGAAAAAAAATAAATAATAAAATATCTAAATAATATATCATTACAACTTTGGAACTATTAGCTCTATCTGTTTAAATCAGTGATTTCAACCGGTGTGCTGTGGTACACTGGTGTGCTTTGAGAGAATCGTAGTTGTGCTGCGAAAATTTTTAAAAACAGAATTTCAAGTAATATCTCACCTCAAAGTAAACATGTTTGCAATTCAGTTGGATGAATCTACTGATATCACAGTGGTAAACCATAACTTTTAGCATTCAGTAGATTTGTTTGTAAAGAAGAAATCATAGAACGGTTTTTATTTTGTCGACCACTCCAAACAACAAAGGGCCTAGATATTTTCGATTTGATCGATAATTACTTCAATTGTAATATCTTGTCTTGGGATTCCTGCATAAGTATTTGTACAGATGAAGCCCCGTCTATGTCCGGAAGTGTAGTAGAAGATATTCTAAAAAAAAAAAAAAACGTCAAGCTCATATCTCATTAAATGTTAAATTATAAGAAACAGAAAAAATAATTTTTTTTTTTTTTAAAGAATTTTAATTCACTGGTCAACACCAAATTTATTGTCTAAATTTTTTTTTTTAGCTGATTCGGGACAATTTTGATGTGCTGAATCGAAAGATCACATTGGTTTTGCTCAATTGGCTCAACTTTTTGAGCTATGGCCACATGATGTTTGGTAAGTTTTTGTTTATAGTGTTATATCCATTAAAATATCTAAATATGCAACATATTTCACACAATAAAACTAATTATGTTAATTATAAACTTATTAATTTTAACCCACCAGAAATATTTTCAGCCAAAAATAGTTACATAAATATTACAACACCTCCAAAATATTTATAAACCAATAACATGCAATAAACTGCTTACATCTCAAAACACCAATTAAACTGTACAATACCAAACCATAGAATACAAATCAGAAAGGTTATTTTATTAGTCATTATAATTTAGGTATACCACCAAAATATTGTGCGGACATAGTAGTAAGCATACCACGTGACCTTTTAGGAAGAATTATGAATAAGTAAAATTATATAATCCAGGAGCCAATTTCTCAGGAATAACTGTATAAAAACCTCAACGATATAGTCTCTCAGATTCCACTAAGGGCCATGTCATTAACTGCTGATATTTAAGACCTCATTCACTTCCACACACACTATTAAGAAACAACTCAGCAGCACTGACCAAACCTCAAAGGGACTGCCTTCAGACACCGGCACTGTCTATTGTAAGAGCTTAATTCTATTTATCTCCTTTATACCCATTACTACTATGTACGCATGCACATACTAGTAATGACATTTCACCTTTCTCACATAGGTATGCAATACAGTTTGTACTATACACCAGTACTTGTTTAACAACCAGAAAAAAACATTACTCACACAATACATTTGAACCAATTGTATATTCCAGTTTGAATTCTTGTTATATACAATTAATGTTATTTCTTAATATTACATTGTGTTTTTATACAAGATAATTTTTTTTAAAATAAATGCTGTGAGATTGTTTTAAAAAAGACAAATTATCAGCAGTCTTGCAACATTTTATATTACTGCATTGAATCACAACACACTGCTTTATAACATTTAACTAAAACCTGTTTAGAAGGATTCCTATTACATGTACAGGTATTTTCACTTTATATGATGCAAATTTTTTTTTTCATTTCTTGAAATAAATAAACGTTGAAGAGATAAAAGCACCAATTTATGTCTAATTGGTATTTTTATTTTACAGGTGAATGAAATGTCTGTGACCAGAAGATCTTGTAAAAATAAGCCTGACACATTCTGCTATATTTGTTTCTAACAGGAATCCAGTCAAATCATACAGCATGCTTACTTACTTTATTTTGGTGTTAACTTGGTGACCAGGATAAAGCTTGGATGTCACACATAGTAAGACATGTACCGAATATCTGTGTCAGTGGACCAAGAAGAGTTGTCTGAAGTTTTGAATTCTCATGGTTCTCATAGCACTGACTGCTACTTCTGTGCTATTGATGGGATCAACTGAAAGAACAGAGCAGCTTCAAGTATCCTGATCTTCAATCAGCACATCATCCTGTAGTTCATTGTGATGAAATTCCAATACTTGTCTTTAGAGAGGTTCCTGTCATTGAGGAGGAAAAGGAGAAAAGAAAAAGTGGTTTTTGATGATAATGCTCCACATCCTTTTTCCTCAAAAAGGAACTAAATGATATAGTTTATGATTTCAGGTTGTCAAAGCCCTCTGCCAAACTGTTGGCATCCAGATTGAAGATAAAAAAAAAAACCTCCTCTCTAACAGTGCTCACATCACCTTCTATTGCAACATGCATCAAGAGTACTTCAGTTTTTTCTCTGAAGATAGAACTTAGTGTACTGTACAGATATTGCACAGCTTCTGCACAAAATTGGAGCACCACAGTATGAACACAAAGATTGGAGACTGTTCACTGACAGCAGTAAGTGATCACTGAAAAGTGTTCTGCTGTACCTCTCACTCCTTTGATTACACTGAAGAAGAAATATGAAGCAGTGAAGTAGGTGCTGGAGAAAATTCATTATGATCAGCATGAATGGTTTATTTGCATTGACCTGAAGATGGTGAACTTTTTGTTGGGACAACAGTCCGAGTTCACCAATTACCCATGCTTTCTGTGCATGTGAGATAAGAGGAATTGATCCCTTGCAGAGCAATGATCATCATCATTATTAAGCCTCTGCTGGCCAGAGACAGGATACTTTTTCCCACTGCTGCACATCAAGCTCAGCTTGATCAAACAGTTCAAAATTCTGGACAAGGATGGTGGATGCTTTACTTATGCCAGGCTTTTCCCAGATTGACGATGTTCAAGGCTGGCATCTTTGATGGTCTTCAAATCCATCAGCTCATCAGAGATCCAGAGTTTGAAAACTCAATGTATGAAGTGAAACTGGAATCATGGAAGGCTTTTGTTCTGGTTATCAAGAACTTTCTTGGCAACAACAAGCCCAGAAACTACATAGAACTTGTCATCAATATGTTGACTGCTTTCAGAAACCTCAGATGCAACATGAGCATCAAAATGCATTATTTATTTTCAGATACATATTGGTTTCCTGAGAATCTGGGATCAATGCGCAATGAACAGGGGGAGAAATTCCATGAAAGAGATGGAGACCAGGTATCAAGGATGCAGTCATGATGGCTGATTTCTGCTGAACTTTCAAGAGAGACACCCCTGTTGCTTATTCTAAAAGTTAGAATAAATGGAATTTCAAGCCCTGAATTTTGAACAATGGTGATGTAACATACAATTGATTGTAACATTTAATTAATAAATTGTAACAGAAAACAATTTTTTCTCTTAAAAACTTATTTTATATGAGAATTATTAACAAAATTAAATCAATAATGTCATAAAAACATAATTGATTTAGTCAGAAGATTGGATTTTTAAAAACTCAACTTGGCACAAAAACATGACCCGATTGAGAGAAATGGATGTCATTTTCGGATTCAAAAGGTGAAAAATTGTCCTAAATCATTTGGAAAAACAGACAACTTAAAAAGTTTTAGTTGCCCAGTGATCTTTTTACTACAAATTATAAATTGTTTTGTTTGTGTTAATAAATAAATCAGAAAAAGAATACTCTTTTTTGATTATCGTCATTTAAGTGTGTTGCATAAGTTTAACTATAGGTTCAAGTGTATTGTGAGATATAAGAGGTTGAAAAACATTGGTTTATAGTTTTGAAAAACACATGCAAAGAAATTTTCAGGTTTCCTCACATGTAAATTGTTATTTAAAATTAAAAGATAAAATTGATTCAAGAATGAGTGTAAAAAGAAAATAAAGTAGCAGGCTTCCAATATTAGTTAACATACAGAAAGTTCAGAACTCAACACACACATGTAATTCTTGAGTTATAAATACTTTTTTCCAAAACTTTTTCATAAAATTATATTTATAACTAGCAATAAAATTTAAGCATTGGAAAGTATGAATCATTTAAAACTAAAAATGGTAAGAAAGAGAACTGTAAATTTTTCTCATTATTTTAAGTTTTTGACCATAACTAGATTTAAGAGAAAATAAAAATGTAGATGAAGAGTTAATTGTCATGTTATTTTTGTTTTCTCTTGTTCTTGCTCCTAACAATTCTATTGAATTAGTATTTGGAAAGATGAAAAATGAATAGAAAAGTGAACTAACTAAGACTGAAAAGAAAACAAACCCAATGTTAGGTTTTGCTGACAATAGTCAGCAAAACCTAACATATTAATTCAAGAAATAAAATTAGGATGTAGAGATATGATTCCTCACTAAACTATAAAAATATTTGATCAGAAAATGAATTTCATGCCCATAACTTTATTGAACAACATTTACAATGTTGTTCTAATCTGCCAGCTTTCAAAGAACTTTATAATTTCATTCTCTCAGAATACTTTATCTTTCTTTTTTACAAAAAACAAACAAACAAAAAAAAAAAAAACTGTTGTTCTTGGTACCTTTTGCAGCCCTCCAGAGAATGGATTTTTTTTTTTTTACCTAAAAAATTCTGTAAAAATACCAGAATAAATTCAAAGGCTGGTGCAAGTGATTTTCAGCACTCAATTTGGATATTTTCAAAATGTTGGCTATCTCCCATGTTACATAACGCAGACTATTCTTAAGTAATGTCTTAACTTGATTGCTATTGATCTCAATTTCTCTAAGAAACTGCAAAGCATCCAGCACAAAATTTAGCAAACAGTTTTAATATTTTCTATCATTCATAGAATCTTCATAAACTGTGCATTTTTTTTCTGTGTAAGTTGCCTTTTACTTTTCTTAAAATAAAACACAATGAGCTTAAAAAAAAGAAAAAGAAAAGAAGTCATCTAATTGAATGAAGTTAAAGCTAATCACTTGTAATGCCATCTAACAAACAATACAGAAAGTTCTGGCCAACCAATATCTATAAAAG